TGGCTGGAACATCTCTCTAAATAACTACTGCCTCTGTCATCAAATTCTATTATTTTTTACAGCTTACTGAAAGTTTGTAACTTTTCTTTATTCCTGGCACTGGTTCACTGAGTAATTCCTGAACTTCTAGAGTTTCTGCCAATATATATATTTAAAAAACCCAACATACCATTATGACCGACATGTCAGTTATTAAGATCAGTACCCAAAACCCGAAGGATCTGGACAGACAACTCTGGGTGACAAAGGGAGATCAGTATCAAACTTATCATCAGACATTGTTAGGCAACTTGACTATCACCATGTCACCTGTTTGAGCCACCCCATCAGAAGAGCCATCAATTCACCTAAAATTACATTTGGAAAGATGGCAATTTCTGCAAGCAAAGCCAAGAGCTGGCTACAGTAGGAGGTAATTTATCCCATGGATTCTGTCAACTTTGTATTTGTAGGGTGGTATTTTATAAAACACATAATGTCATAATAATCAAATCCAAAATGAGCTCCTGGAACAAAGGAAAGTTATGGGGTTTTCAAACAGTTTTCACTTGACTGACAGAGTGCCAAAAAATCTGTTATTTTTTCATCTACATCTTATGCAATGCACACAGTCTACCTGCTGAAGAAGCAAATTTCCACTGTTTGGAATCACCAGTTCAAGACAAAACCATGACACACTCCTGATGCTCACAGGAAGACTCACCATGCAATAAGTAGTTAGATAGAATTTTGCTTATTTTCTCCTCACACTGCATACAAATTTTTTTTCCCCTGTGATGAAATGCTGCAAATGAGAGTTGGCCATTAAGTACAGAGAATTGCCTTTGTGGTTGGTTCTGTCTTGCAAACTTTCAATTGACAGGATCAGGCCACTGTGCAGCTGAGGAAAATTCAATGTAATCACCAGCTGTCACTCTAGTGAAACTGAGTCCTGTTTGAAGATCCAAGAAGCAAAATTTCTTAAGCATTAGGAAAGTGTCTTTTGCGGAGATACTGCACATTTTCCTGGAAGAGTTTAAAATGCCTTTTTTTTTTTTTTTAATGGCAGCTGTTTTGCAGCAGGAAGTAAGCAATCTGAAAGTTACGAAAAGTAATTTTATTAACATGCACTTGTTCAGGAAAGTCTATTAGCAGGAAAGAGTTTAGTCTGTTTATATGATCAGTTCTGAATGACAGATCTTCATCAAAAATTATTCCATTTTACCAGATCATCCAACATGGTTGAGATCACCAGGTACCAAGACAAACTCCTATAAACCAATACAGCCCTAGGAGCTGTTCTGTCTTTATAAAGTCTTCAGCTGAAAACCTGAACATGCCATGAAAACCCAGGCCTCATTATTGTCAAATTATAGAAATTCCTGATTCATTTCCTAAGACCAATTTCTAAAAAAGGAAGTATTTTCCACTGATGAATCAAAGCACTTAAAGACATTTCTCATTTTTCTTCCCTATCTTGTCTAAAGGGTCATGATTTCCATGTTGATATTCTCCAAGCTGCGGGTTTTACTAATGAATTGATGATAACAATAATTACAGCAAACATGTAACACACAAGTTGTCAGATTTTCTGTTGAAGTGAGCTGAACTGCCCATCCTTTGATATATATAAGATTTTGGTCAAAATTACAAGACTGCAAGCTCTGGCAACCAGGAGAGCAAATTTCATATATATTTTCCCCTAACTCTGCAAAAAGAACTAAGGTAGTTGGACACTTAAATTTCACTAACCTGTCCTTCTACATCCACAAGGTCAAAACCAGAAATCAGACAACTCACCTGGCTTTTATGTGCTTTGATATCTCTATGCACAAGAAGGAAATAATTTGTTTGTCCTGTTGTTCAAAGAGTCTTTGTAATGTAGAATGTGGCTGTCAGGCTGCAGGAGTAACAATAACTGTTTCAAAGGGTGGAAGAAAAGGAAATTCTCTAAACTGCACTTAGGTGCAGAGTTTCCACTGCAATCAGGCTCCATATCTGCGGTGAACAGAGCCCACTGTCCCCTGGAAAATGCTGCACTTCCATATCTGGAACACTTTCAAGTGTGAGAGTGCACCAAATTCATGAATCAAAAGAAACTAACATTGTTAAGATCATGGACAAATACATCTCTGAATGTGATTACATGAAAGGTACCATGACAGAATAGCAGAGCATTCCAGCAGTTAAGAGGGAGAGCACATCTTGGGCGGAGAAAAGCAGGTTTCCCTCTGGGAATTTACTGCTCCCCATCCACAGCAGCCAGGTCACACAATTAGAAACCAGATACCAGAAAGCACCAGGACTGATCTGAAATGCTGCCATTTGATGACAAGGAAAGCTGCTCTCCACTGATTAGCAGGATGTAAAGCCAAAGCGCTGTCTTGACAAATAACTGCAGGATATTTCAGAACATTCGTCCCTTTACCCCAGTTTCTGCCACCACCAATATGCGTGCCCAGTTTTACAATGCACAAAACCACTTCGAGAGCACTGCTTGCACGTGAGTGGAGTACAGGGTGTGACACAAATGCATTCCAAACTGATTCCCATAAAAGTTACTACGTTTTTCTTTCTGTGGCCATGATATGATTTGTAATGGATATTTTTCTGAGTAGGTATTCATGTTAAAACTTACTGAAGCTGCATAATTAAGTGGAAGCAACATAGTACCAAAGATCAGTCAAGCTTTCTAAACCAAAGTTTATTACATGCAGAATCTAATTAAAATGCTGAGGCTAAAGTCCAGCCTGCAGATCAGTATTAGAATTCACCAGAAGGCATCTTTTATATTCTGATTTTGCTCCTGAGAAAAGATGTTCTGAACATGTTTAAGATGGGTCAGGTGCATAAAGTCATGTCATCCAACAGACACATAACTTAGCCCTTTCCCAGTATCCTGTGTCTATATGTAACTGAGTAGCACTCATTCCCAAACATCTGTTCTCCCATCACCTTCCAGCTCCCAAATTATTCTTAATGCATTTTAGGAAGCTGTCAGGATGAAGAGTACATGACTGGAAAAATTAGTGGGTTTTTAAGTATAAAAGAAACAAGCAGGACTCTGTAACTCTTGAAAGACCAGAGAAGAAAGGTCTCAGGGCACAGGAGAAGGGCAAGAGAGGTAGTGTTTGGGAAGATAATGGAAGGAGTTATTAAGTAGCTGGTTATTCAACATCTAAGACAAAAACAGCATAATAAAAATTTGTCAACAACAAATCTTTTACTGACACTGTGAGCAAGGGAGAAGCCACAGTTGTGACAAACAGGGAACTAATAAGGCTTTTAATCTGACACCTGAGAATCTGACAAGCTGAGTAAGGCATTATGGCCTAAACTAAAGAGCAGTTACATCTATCATATGAAGATGTAATTAGGAACACTTCCCTTGCCAACTGGGAGTCAGATGGTGTCCCACAATCCCCCATGCACCTGCCTTATTTTGGACTTTTTTTACTACACTGAAAATGAAACTGAGAAAGCACACTTCCAGAATCTGGGAGAACAGCTATGGTGTGGGAAAGATTGTAAGCATCTTAGAAGCAGAACTCAGAATGATAATATGAAAATTCTATAGAAACAAATGCAAAGTATTACAATAAAAATTCAAATGCAAGGGGAGAAATTGGCCAGACAACAAAACCACAGAAATCTGAAGTTACAGTAGGTTGCAGTGAGAGTGAGAGTGCAAAACAATTCAGGGAAAAAAATATGGTAACTTTGACAATATGAAGATCTAAAACACAAAAAACAAATATTTTGCTCTGTTCAGCAGCATTGGAACACAATACAGCTAGGAAGAAACATGAGAGTTAAAAAACACATTTAGAGAAAACTGCAGGCAGAGTAAAAAATGGTTAAATTTTAAAACCACATTTACCAGCAGAAAAATATCAAGCTATCAAAATTTGTTTCCTGAAGAAAAATGTGAAATGAGGAAAGGGCAAAGTTAAAATCTTCAAGTATTTCTAGAAATAAAAGACAAAAATGGAATATTTCTAACCCACAAAGAACAGAACAAATAATCACTGGCATAATTTCCAGTACAGAATATAATAGGAAAAAACTCAGTGACCTATAAAAATCATAACGCAATGAAATTATGTCAACAGATCATGTAGTTTCTATCACTGAAGACTTTTCAAAATAAATTAAACAAATATGCCATGAAACATTTTGTTAGAGTTGCTGTAAGATTCCGCACTGCTTTAATGAAGTTAAGTTGGTGTCACCTCAGAAATAAAAGGATGTTACAAACATGTCAAACTCAGTGAAAATCAACTAAAACAAAGCAAATGCTTTACAACTAAGGTACAACTCACAAAGCAGGACTTCTGCCGACGTGAATAAATTCAACGTGGGAATTGAAAATTACAGTTTTACCTGGATTAAACAAAACACTTGTAACTCCTGTATCTGAAAAGAAACAGTGGCATTGCTATTTAAGTGGCAAATGCTGACCTTGGGTTATGTTCCAAAAGCAAGGTGCAAAATAAGCTGCTGAAGGGGTTGGGAAAAGTTTGAGGTGCTGCAGACAAGTGTGTAAAGGTGGACCCACCCACAGGTGCATCTGCCTGGCTACTACATATGTCTTGTATATGAGTTTGAGTACAAAATACAACTCAAAGCTGTTTATTTTTTAATCAGTTCTACAGCATTGGGGTTTGCACAGCATCTTGGGCAAAGAGGACTCAGTTAAGCATCATCATAACCACAGAATATGCTGTGATGGAAGGGAACCACAAGGACTGTTGAGTCGAACTCCAGGCCCTGCCGATGACAGCCTCAAGGGTCACACCCTGTGCCCGAGGTCATTGTCCAAACACTTCTCGAACTCTGACAGGCTTGGTGCTGTGACCAATTCCTCGGGGAGCCTGTTCCAGTGCCCAGTCACCCTCCCCGAGATTAAAATGCAAACTTTTTTTTTATTATTATTATTATTATTACCCTTGCAATGATGTCCTGTCGTCTGTCCTGCATTACTACACAGCAGATCTAGTCAAGAATAAAGACCGTGGCACCTGAAACGTAGTCTCTCCTCCAAATGCACCACTGCCTTCCCTCCCGAGCTCCTGGCCCAGCCTATTCCCAACTCAGGGCGGCTCCGGGATGGCGGCAACAGCGGGGTACCAACGAGCCAGAACGGCCCCTTCAAACACCCCCGGCTGCGCCCCGCGGGCCCCTCAGCCAAGGGCCAGGCGGAGCCGGGCGCGTCTCTCCCGCGGCGCGGAGGCGCTTTGCCCCGCGGAACCGCCGCGGTGCCCGGCCCCGTGTCCCCGCTCACCATGGCGATGACGGCGATGAAGATGATGACGGCCACGATGGCGATGCCCGGCCCGCCCCTGCCCCGGCAACCGAAGCGCCGCCCCCGCGCCCGGGCCCGCGATTGGGCGGGAGCGGACACGACTCGCGGGGCGCCCCGCCCGCCGCCGGACGCGGAAGCCGCCGAGGCCACAACCGTGGGGTTGTCGTGACATCGCTGCTGCGGGCCGGTCTGTTGGGGCCTGGGCTGGGCGGGCGGTGGCTGTGGGAGGCCCTGGATCTTGCAGGGCTTGGCGTCGTGAGAGGTGCGGTGGGTAATGATGCCAGCAGTGAGGGAGATGGAGTAGGAGGGGGACGTGTTGGGCGGCTTACAGTGCTTCCGCACGTACCTGGCCGGGATTGTAGCGTGAGGGAGCAGGATCAGCGGCAGGTCGTGTCTGATGGAGCAGATAAGCCCAAATACTCCTAATCGGTCTTTCGTTGAGTATTCTTGTCTTCTGAGGAACTAGGCTTTCATCCTCCTCATCAAGTAAATAGAGATCCTTAATCAAAAGGAATGAACAGCAGTGGTGATTTTTAAGTAAGCGAACACACAAGTCCAGTTGTAGAAGCAACAGATGGTGAGACATCTCTGTATCTGTAGTTTGAGAAAGCTCCAGGAGGAAAAGGTGTTTCTCGTGTCTTCTGTTCATCTCAAAAGATAAACAAGAGAAACCTGTCTGACACAAACCAAATCTTTAGTCTAGAAACCCAGAAGTAGCAGTGTCCTCATTGCTGCAATTTTCTTTGTAGAGCAGAGAGCTGCTGCAATGGAAGTCAAAAAGCTATAGTTAAACCGTTTCAGTTAGTGGTACAGGGAAAGAAAGCAAGGGCCCCGGGGATCTCCATTGAATAATGGGGAAAACTCGGGAACAAAAACAGCCAAACAAATAGGAGTATCCTGATCTCAAAGGAACATAGACCCTAGAAAAGAGGGAGTGTAATTGAGAGTGGATGGCCCTGTGGTCAATACCTTTGGTGGATAAGGGAGAAAATGGCCAGGATGGTGGTTTGGATCAAACTGGAGGTCAACTTTTGTTGTTAGTTAAACTAACCATGTGCACCCATTCAGGGCACCAATGCCTTCTTTGACTCAGAATTTGCCCTATCAAAAAGGTTGTTTCAGCAAGCAGGACTGAAGGAATGGTGCAGCTGTGCAGTTACCATTGTTTCCTCCTCACCTCTTCATCGGCTTGAAGCAGTGTAGGATTTTCTTTTCTCATGGTTCTGTGATTATTTTAGGTTATCTTGGCATGGTTATGCAGTTGTACTGTGGGAGTGTTACAGGCTTTTAAAGGGTAAGATGGGGGCTCACTGAAGAAAGCGGGGAGGGAGACCAGAAAAAAAATAATTGAGAAATGGAAACTAGAACAAGATGAGGAGCAATGCGAAGGAGTTGAAGTGCAGCTCTTGGTGAAAAAAAGACACAAGTGCCAGAGGACTCGCAATCTTCTTCTTTTAACTCTATGGGTTTTGGTGTAGTTTTTATCATTCTGTGTTTTCACTGTTTGTTTTGGTGTGGGCTTTTTCACTGTGCTGCTGGAACTGGAGTTTTAAGGTTTTACTAGAAAACAGGATCATCCAAGATTAAGTGCTGTGGTTACCTTGCTAAAGATTTTTTTTTTTGCCCCCCTCCTTATTTCTTCCTCAGACTTACCTAGTTAGGAAGAGCTGACTGCTAAAGAGAAAATGACATCTTTGGAAAAAGGTAGGTTGTTCATAAGGCATCTAAACAGACTGGATTAAAAAGTACTATAACTGGAATTCTAAACACCAGATTTACACTGTATACCAGGCTCCTTTCATTTAAATTTACTCCTTTTATGCAGCTATGAGGAAGTAGTTCTGTGACTTCATTCTTGCAGTGAAAACCAGAGCTACCTGGATGGAACAGCAATTGAATGTAGTTTTTCTAATCCAGCTCGACATTGAAAAATAAGTTTGTCACTGGTACTGGGATCTGTCTGTACACTTGTCTGACAGCCTCCCCTGGTATTTAGAACCTGTTGGTACTGATTCAGCAAACTTGAAAATGAGGCAATATAATGGTGTTATTACAGCATTTTTGAAATACATTAATATTTGGATAGAGGATACAAGCTGACATTACTGCCTGCAGTATGAGGGAAAAAAAGCAGTATGTGTAGCTATGACCTCAGAAACTTTATATCTCTTGCCCATTGTGAGGAAACTGCACTACAATAATTATTTATTCAGCTTAAAACTTAGTGGTCTTAAATTAATTTCAGTATATGTCAGATATGTTTGGGACTATAGAGCAGAATGCAGCATTACTGGGAACACTGGATTCTGTAGTTCAGAAATGGAGCCAACAACTGGGTTGTTGACCTTCACTTGGGCAACTAAAACATGTTAGTACTTAAAAGTCTGCTAAATTTCTGAAGGTGTCAGTAGCTCTCTGGGTAATAGCTGTTTTTCATTTGCTTGTTTTTTAAATGAAACTGCTCTAATTCTGCCAGCTCCCAAAACCTGATTTTGTTGTCAGCCTACAAGTAATGTTGTCAGTAATTTTTTTTTCCAGGAAAGCTCTTTTTTATGTCTGCATTTAATCTTGTATGGCAGCAGGAGATTAAAATTAATGCAATTCAGATCAATGTTTGTGTCTTGTACTGCTGTTGTTAATGAGCAATGCACATCTAAATGAGGACTTACTTGATTAAGGGCTTACTGTGAGGGTGGTGAGACACTGGAACAGGTTCCCAGGGAAGTTGTGGATGCCCCATCCCTGGAAGTATTCATGAACAGGTTGGACGGGGCACTGAGCAACCTGGTCTAGTGGAAGGTGTCCCTGCCCACAGCAGGGGTGTTGGAACAAGATGATCCCAAAGGCCCCTTTCAGTCCAAACCATTCTATGGTTTTCTGACTTGTCCTTGATAATCACTGCTGCAATGGACTATTTGACACAAGCAGTATACAATTAAAATCTCCAACTCCAAAGTACAGAAATTAAGGGAAGACTTACAATGACACTATAACCAAGTGAAAGGTGGTAAACTTTTAATCCACAATTTCTAAATTTCAGTTGATGATGCCTCAGCACCCATTCGAGGACCTGGAGATGGCATGGAAACAGAGCAAACAGCTGGAGCAGTGGAAGTAATCACCGGAGCAAACAGTGCAAGCCATCACATCCACCACAGCCCCCATAAAAAGACAGCTTCTTCCCTGAGTCCTGGAGTTCTGCAGCTGGGGAAAGTACATCCAGATAAATCAGTAGAGATTGAAGCTATTCGATTATTAGTCCCCAAAGCAGCCATCACCCATGTTGTTCCAACTAAAAATGCTAAGATAGCTAAATCTGTGGGTCATAAAGGAGACACGTTCCATCAGTCAGATGGAGCTACAGACCCCAAGAAAGAACAGACAGAGCTGAAAAATGCAATTGAAAAGCTAAAGAATTCAGAAAAGCGGTTGTTACAGGATAAAGAAGGTCTCTCTAATCAGCTGCGTATACAGACAGAGGTAAGAAGTTAAAGGTGTTTTCTCTCCCACAGCTGAACTGTTTTGGTTTGTAGAAGCAGTTTGTGAATGTGACCAAAGAGAACTGCTATGACACTTTAGCCTTGAAACAAATAGGTTCCCTTTTGAACTTACCAGCTAAGATATAGAGTAGAAGCACATAAAAGTATTCCAGTGCTGCTTCTCTGACAACAGATGAAAGAGTCAAAGACTTAGCTGGGAGAAACATACTAGATAGCTGCAGGGAAATGAATCTTTCATGAGGAAGACTTTGCCCTGTAATCACTAAGTTAAAAGTGTTATGCCCTAGAAAGATTGACTATAACTTCCTATTTCATACACCTGTGGATGTCTTGTCTAATCCTTTGTTATCTTACTGTTTCAGGGGTTGAATACTACTGAAACTTTGTTTTCTGCAGTAGGCTTTTATTCTTCCTCTTTGACTGTTAGAATTTAAACAAGAATATGTTGGACATGCATTAGGCTCATATGTTTGTGCTTGCCTGGATAGGTCCCATTCTGGAATGAGAAATTACAAATTGCTAAGAGTAAATTGTCTAAGTTGCATTGCATTCTTAGGAGTGTTTATTGTCTATTGATAGTTACCAGGGAGTCTGGTCTAATTGTAGGTCAATCGGGAGTTGAAGAAATTACTTGTTGCTTCTGTTGGGGACGATCTGCAGTATCACTTTGAACGGATGGCTCGTGAGAAGAATCAGCTCATCCTAGAAAATGAAGTCTTGGGCCGGAATACGGCTCAGTTGTCGGAACAGTTGGAGCGCATGTCTATACAATGTGATGTGTGGAGAAGCAAGTTCCTAGCAAGCAGGTATTCCCCCTCATGGAGCTGTCCTAACAGCATTCTCCTTCAGTCCTTCATCACATACACTCATTGCAATGTGCTTACATATGCAGAGGACAGCCACAATAGCCATACTGATTCCTACTCATAAATCTGAGAATACAGGAAAGGTATAAAGTAAGCTCCTTGTAAATCTGAATAGTCCAGCTTTTCAGAAGTAATACAGTGAATCATAACCTTTCTAAAATCTCAACTACAGCTCTGTCAAGAAAGCAAGAGAAGCTCTTAATTTTGATAAAACCACATGCAGTTTAGGGTACAGAAATGTCTTCTAGGTCAGCTGACTTACAGGTAGTTAGTTGATTTTCATCCCCAACCCCCCTCCAGTATGATACAGTCATAAATTGGAGAAGAAGCTGATGTGTTTAGGAGCTCTGCTTACAGCGAGTCAGGGATCTACTATAGAAGAAAGAGATGGGGGAACGCTTTATCAAACACTGTGTTACTGCTTGGAACCTTCCTGTTACTTCTTTAACGATAAAAGCAAGTCTGAAAGTCAATATCTCATTTGACAATGACTTTAAACTTGCCTAGTTGTCTTACCAGAAAATAATGTAAATAATGGTCTAGGATTTTTAATTTTCTACTATACTTGGATATAACTGACTGAATTATGATGTTTAATGCGTATTACAACATACCTTACTGCTTGAAGGAAATGGCAATAGAATACAGTCTCCTCCCTTTAATTTGCTGAAGAAGTTTCAGCATATGGGGTGTAATGGTACTCGTAAGTCCTAGCTGAGCAAGAGTTACTAGGCAAACTAGGGGGTTATTTTAACATTATGAGGAGTTCTGAAATCAGAGCTGTGAGTCTCAGCAGTGTGGTTAAAGTAACACTCTTCAATATTGTAACATCCTGGTTCATTTTTATCTCATATTTCTAACTGGTGGTTGTTTAAATGTCATTCTGGTTTTGCATTTGGAATATCACAGGCATTTGAAATGCCTGCTGGAGCAGTAGTGCCAAGCCTCGTGACATAGCAAAAAGTGACAGCAGCTGTCTCCTTTGTAGCTCTTAAACACTCATATCTGGCATCTGGTGATTGCCCCTGAGTAGGCCAAAGAGGTAAATGAATGCAGTCTATAGCCATAGCTTCCATTTTTAGAGAAGACTGAACAGATGTGATTATAGCATACTTGTGAGAATTGCTAGTAAATGAAAAATGTATTTAGCTTTTTCTTTCACAGGATCCTTGTCAACTATTTCCAAGATGTTTTGAAATGTCTGTTACTAGATTTGTATTAAGTGACCTAAGATTGTTTAAGCTTTGTTTAAGCTCTGTCAAAACATAACCTTGCACCTAAGATTGTTTAAGCTCTGTCAAAACATAACCTTGCACTGATGTTGGCTGTAGTTGAACAGAAATTATTCTTAATTAGGTTGATGTAGGCTCTGCATGGGGAGGGGATGGTGAACAGCAGCTTAATACTCAAGTTGAGCAGACAAATTATGTTTTGTAGTAGCAAAAAGTGACTTACAAGCTGTTCACTTCCACTGATATACTGACTGGAGATTTCCTTTGCAGGGTGATGGCTGATGAGCTGACCAATACCAGAGCAATTCTTCAGCGCCAAACCAGGGATGCACAAAGTGCAATCCAGGACTTGCTGAATGAACGCGATCAGTTCCGTCAAGAGATGATTGATACGCACAAGTATGATTTTCTAATCCAGACTACCTCTGTGCTAAACTTCATTTTTGTCAGTTTATTTTAGGCTAGAGGAGAATCAAATAACTTTCCCCTCTTCCAGTGATATTCAACAAAAATCAGTTATGTTGATGTATGGTATGGTCACTTTTCAGTCTTAGAGATGAAAGAGCAAAAGTAATAGAATACTTGTTTCATTCCCTAGAGGTCTGAGGTCTTAAGGGTAATAAACTATGGAACTGACATCCCTCACATCCTCAGGCTTTCTTTCTCTAATCACTTACTGTCTTGACTTCAAGTCTTCTCTGTTTCCTTCCAAAATATCAAAGAAGAGATCCTTCTACCTACATGGACTTTACAGTGCTCATTCTGCCAGATGTCAAATAAGTGTTCCCAGGATTAATGTCCTGTGTTGGTGAGGCCTTGCCTTGGAGAATAGCCCATTTGTCTCCTTGTTCTTAAACACTTTTTTGTCCGTTTCTTTGGTTTAAGGTGTAGCTTATGTAGTAAGCCTTGGGAAGAGATGATTTCTCTGAAGTGTGCTGGTTATACAATAGAGGATACAAACCCTATTAACAGTGCTTGTTTTCTTTCTGCACAGGCTGCTGGAGGAGCTCATGGTCTCTCTTCAGTGGGGGAGACAACAGACATACTATCCTAGTGCCCAGCCTTACACTACAACAGAGCTAGCAGCTGTGAATTGTAAGCTAGCCAAAGCTGTAAGCTCACATCTTCTAGGAAATGTTTGCACTAACAGTCCAAAAAAGACTTCAACAGCTATGGAGTTTTGCAATACCCCTGCTGAGAAAATGGCTGAAATGGTAAGAACTCTTGATGCACGTTAATATTAAGGTTCTGGATAAACGGATATTTCATTTTCAAGTTAGAAAAAAGACGACAAATGGCTTTTGAGCAGAAATTCTTCCTAGCTCTTAGAGAAGGAAAAAGCACACTAAATTGTATAAAAGTATTTTCAGTGTTAATTTTTCCATCCTTAGATGCTGCATGTACTGGATCCAGCTGCACATCCAGAGACATCAACAGAAGTTTCTTTTTCTGAGACTTCTCCATCTTCTTTCCTTTCTACAAAGAAAAGTATTGGAAGGTTTCACCCATATACAAGATATGAAGATGTCACCTTCAATTGTTGCAATCACTGTCAAGGAGAGCTGATAGCCCTTTAAAAGCCCAGCCAAGGCAGCTGCACATGCACTCTTTCTGAAGAATTACACTAGTTGATGTTCAGCAGGTTTCCTTTGTCCTTTTTCCATAATGAGTAGGTATGGCATTGGAAATGGTGCAGTTTCTGCTTCCCTACCTCTTGAAGTTACAGATTGACAGGATTTCCATAGTCTCTGGGATACTTCTACTATTTCTCAGCGGGGAAAGCTACTTATTTTCTTATACAAAGGCAAGCCAAAAAACATTATGCTGGTCCAATTTGTAGAGCATAGAGATGCTCTTGACTATTAACATTTATAGTCCTATTAGCAAATCTTAATGAATTTCCCTTCAGAGGGAGACAGAAGTGTAACCGTACCAAAGCAAATGAAGTGCTGATCAGTTATGCCTAAATTTAAAAATAAAGTAATGATAAATGGTCAGTTATATGCCTTTTTTTTTAAATTTTAGCCAGGGTGATGAACTGCCCTCAAGTCTATGTTCTACCTTTTAAAGTTAGTCATAAAAAGGAGTATGTGCAATGATTCTTCATAGCTGTAAGTTCTGAAAGCAAGACTATGTGCAATGTCAGCCCTCCTGTCAAGAAGGAGATAAAGCTTGAGTGAACTCTAGCTATAATACATAAGTAGTAACTGCTTTCAAGTGGGTTCTAGAAAACTGTGGGGTGAGGTTTTTCTTGTTTCCACAGAGCTAAAATAATGGCTTTTCCATTGTTTCAGCTTCTAGAGTGAAGCTGCTGCATAGCTGATCCTCAGCAAAGGCAGATTGACATAGTTCCTTTACTACATAGCATTGAATCCTGGCCTGGCATTAGGACTCAGTCCTTGCCCAAGGTTTTCCTGAGTATTATTGGGAAGGTGAAGATAAGCACTAAGTTTGCATTGGTACTGCTAAAAAAAGTACTTTTTTACTTGTATGGTTTTATAATCTTTATGTAGATTTGAAGTTCTTGACATAGGCTTGAAGAGAATTTCTAGGAGACAATCTGCTAAATCCAAAGAAGCCTATTTAAGTTTCTTAGTTTGACATCCAAATTTACCATATGAAGCTGTCTAGTTTAGGGAAAAGGTTTCTGAAATGGTTGTTTTTACCCAATTTTCCTTTGAATCTCATACCCATGATCAGAATATGTAAGCTGTGAGTTCTTGCTGTTGCTGGCTCTGATTTAGTTTACATGGAGAAAGTTACAATAAACATCCTTTACTTGCTTTCATGTAAAGGCTGGTCTCTCCAGAGTGTTTGGGTCCCATCTGGCAAGCTTCGGACTGTAGCCCCTTGCAGCCTTTACAAGGACCAAAGTAAAAGACTGGAGGTGCTCTTCTCCTCTCAGGACCAAAGATCCCACAGCTTTGTTGTGGAATGACTCCAGGGGATCTGAGATGGGAAAGAGGCAGTGTCCCAGAAGAGAAGGAGACCTGGGGGTTTCCTCCCGAGAGCTTTAAGCTCAGAGGAAGGGGAGTGCAGGAAGGGGGCCACAGCCAATGGGATACAAGTGAGGAAGGGGCAAGGGGAGGAGTAAACCTGGGAGAAACCATTACCACCAGGGCTTTTGTGGGGAAAGGAAATGGGACAGACCATGTGACCAGTGCAAATTACCAAACACCCAGTGCAAAAACAACTACTAAATAAAATATTTAGTGCAATACAACACTTTCATGTTGCAGTTTTGGATTTAATAAAGTCACATTTCTGACCCTGTTTTCTCTGTAGTATAAATGGAACTACATGACATTGAACTGTGAAACCCTTCACCCTGCTGGTGTGAGGCAATGAACAGAGAAGCATCTCTTCTGTAGTTTTCTACAATTAGGGAGACGGTGTGTGTGAACCTTTCAAACATTCCTCCTGGATTTGCTTGCTAGACACAGGAAGCTCTTCAGGCCTTTAGTGTCAAGGAAAGGCACTGGAAGGAGGAAGGCACCTGTTACTTACGTGTCCCATTAGCATGTGATATTTTCATTTTGTGTCCGTACTTGCTCTCTGTGCTGGCAAAAGCTGCAACAGAGCAGCCTCCAGTCCAACACCAGTGCTCTCAATGTGCCTGTAAGTAGCTCCAAAAATAACCGAGAAAAATGCTACCAGCAAATCTGCTTTGCATCTACTACACTCCCAGAAAACACTGTCAATGTTGAAAAATTTAAAAGCAATGCCAGGATCATGAAATCTGTTGGGGCATACAGCTGGACAGAATGCTCTTCTTCCTTCACTAACTTTATGATTTCATGAGTGACGTTGGCATGTTCTCTATCAAGAGTTCACAATTTAGCTGGGTAAGGTGGTGTCGTTTGGTAGATTTATTATAATAAACATTGACATTTATATAAGGAACGTAGCTTCCTTACTACTGGAAAAAGGTCATAATCTGCACAACCTTTTAATTCCATGAATAGAAAACTACTGGATTTGACTCACAGAAGTAAGTTTCAAAACCTGTTGCATGATCACCTACACATTAGTATTCAAATCACCACTTTCCAGGAACCTAAAAGAACACAGTCCTCCAGTCTAGAGCTGGTCAACAGATCAATAGGAAGTGATACAAGAAACATGATTTTCCAACAACATAACACCTGGCACAGTCTTAATCACTAGCAGCATCAAACAGCAATATTAATCCACCAAAAATTCAACGTTTTACACAGTAGCCTGCATCAAGGAATCAACGATGGAGGAGAATATAAAGTGCCTTTTAAATAAGGGAATGTGTATTTGCCACCATCATATATACATCTTGCGCTCATTTAGATTTGGTTAAACCAAGAAGATCCCCGAGTTATGCAATAAAGCAGGCTTTTCAACTAAATTACAAATAAATAGATAGTAAAATCATTGTCACTGAAGGTAACTGTTAAACTTGCTTGAAAGCTTTAAAAACACCACAAAAAGTCAGTAGCTGTAAAGGACAAAAATTCAAGTCATAAAAATTAAGAAGATTGTCACCAAGAACTCCGTGGCTTCATCAAATTTTCAACTGTAATAATCTGAGAAACAAAAGGATTTGGGCTCTGAATTAAATATAGTGCATGTTCCGCATTTGTCTTGCTCTTCTGGCTTCTAGTCTAAGCTGCCTGGCTCTCTCTTTAGCAGCTAGTTCTGCTGCTTCTTTTTCTTCTCTCTTCCTTCTCAGCCAGCTGTGGAGAGAGAACGAGGACCAGAAGTACTGGCAGTTGTAATTTCAAGTTTTACATTATCCATTCAAAGGAGATTTGTCCCCCCCACTTAACTGGAGCCCACCATGTCTTGTAGGGTGAAGCTGGGTGTTATGGCTAAGACAGTCTAAAAGCCAGCCATACGCAAACACAGGAAGCATTACTTTCCCACCCCAATTTTCGTGTTTCTGTACCCACCTTCACCTCCCCCCTTTTGTTAAACCGGATTAGCTTTATGCTCTATTCATGGACTGAATCAACCCAAGGTTGCTCCAGAACAGGCAACAACGAAAAGATCCCTTTTTCAGCAAAAGTAATTCACTCTTTTCAGCTCAGGTTCTGACAAATAATTTCACAGCAGTGAACAAACAACATCAAGGAACTGACGTATTTTTGTTAGGGTGTAAGTTTAAAAGGGCATATTCATGGAGAAAAAAGCCCCTCCAAAACAATGAGGACTTCAATATCAAAGATGTACCATAAGATAGGTACAATTTTGAGATGACAGACTACAGAAGTTTCAAATGTGGTCCCTTAGGAATGACCCTACTCACTCTCTAAAAGCTCTGTCACAATCCTCTGGGCTTGGAAAAAAGGCTACTTCCTCAGTTTGGCGTCTCAAGACTTCTATCCGTCTTTCTCTCACATACTGTTGGTGCTTTTTTTTAAGCCATAACTGGTAGGCTTCTTCTGGATCCCTGTGCACCTCCTAATTAATAAAAAAGACATGTGTACACAAGGGTTATCGGTAAATAACCTTTATAATAATCACATTATAATAGGGGTTTTTTTGTATTCTGCCAGCATCTCCCCTCCATGAAACATACTTTATAAACACACTAGAGCATATGCTAATCTGGCATAGAATATATACATGAGCAAGCATTCAAAGCACCATGTTTAAAAAAGTACTGAATTTAGCTTTTCAAGCCCATTGCTTTAAGGCAGAAGAACTTTAGAACAGCATCTGAATCTCCAGGTTTTGATCAGGTCATGTGCATTAACTGCTTAGTAACAACTTCTGATGGTAAGGAACATACTTCAAAGAGTCTTCTGGCTGCTTGTTCACTCACAGCTCAATCAAGGCTTTCCCCTGGTATATGGCAGCATCACTGTAACCCCTGTGATTTATAGTTGAGTTCATGTGTGCTGCTTCTACACATTGCAAGCCACTCTGCTAAGATCAATCATAAATCTGTAAGTCTACCTCTTCACTGAAAACAATGTAACAACAATATATCCCATTGCTGTAAAACTTCATACATTTAGCTAAGAAGTCAGGTTTAGAATTTGGCTTTCCTATTTAACAAGAGCACTACAAATCCCAGTTCCACATTAGGGAGACCTTACTTTGATGCTCAGCTCTTCCATCTGTTTTGCACGACGAATTCGCTTTTCTTGTTGTACCTGTTCTCTCTTCTTTTGTAACCAAGCTTTAAAAACCATTTCACTCTGTCGTCTCCTCATTTCTTCTAGTTCCCTTTTCTTTTCTTCTTCCTTAAGTGGAAGGAAAACTGAATAAACTCAGTTTTTAAGAGAATTATCTTATTCTGCAAAGACTGTTGCAGGCAATAAATAAGCCATTTGAATTGCATGAGAGACACACTAAAATACAGATGAAACAAGAATACTCAAAGATTGCATCACAGCTGATACAACATTTAGGAAGAAATTGTTTGGAGTGCTTCTGTTTGTGATATATTCAGACACTTTTAGTCTAATCCTTTTTGTGATTACCTTTATTTCCATGACACCTCTCGACTCAGAGACATTCAAATATCATCAGGTGAAAACTCTTAAAATTAAGTCTGCCCCATATCTCTGGTTAGCTTAGAATCACTTTAAATTTATATATTTTAAAAATAAATCCAGCTCTCAGGCTTGATGGATCACTAAACCCTAATGGATATTTAACAACACATGGACTGCAGGCACCATCTTATAAAAAAGAACCTTTTTCGGACATGAAGTTGCAATATATTTACTTAAGGAGTATTAATAGCTTCAGGCTTTTTTCAAGTGTACAAAATGAACTGATATTTACACAATTGAGAAAAGTTTCTTTTACTTATTAATTACATTTCAGCTAATGATAAGTATGTACGAAGAGGAGAAAAATTTTCAATTAATGCTTCAGAAAGCTGATTAGGACACTTTTACCAGGATTTACTCTCTTTGACACAAAAGCTACAATCCGTACTCATTTCAATACTTCGAGAAATCTAATCTTGCAATTAGATGATGTTCCTCCCACCTACACACAACTTCCTTATATCCTCCAAAGTTACCATTTCTAATTTACTGGAACGAAAGGAACTCCACCAAAATAAAGCAGAAAGATTCTAGTAATGTCAAGAAATGTTTAATGCCTGTGAAATCCATCACAGAATGGAAGAATTCCATTCCAGAATGAAGAAATAAGGTAACACATCCTTACTTTTCCATAAGTCAGCCAACAAAGAAAGAAATTTAGCACGCACTGTTAGGAAAATAACCTTCCTTCCACTCACTGCCCTACCTCTTATATTAAATAATAGAGCATGGTTTCAAGAGATCTAGTCTTATATGCACAAAGAAAACACTTCAATTGCTCATCAGATTTCATACCCCTCATTACTAAGCTGAGCCTCAGCAACCTTTTCAAATAAAGCAGGCTAGAGCTGTTTCCACAGATAGAAAGTAATCTTGGAAGCTACTTAGCCAGCTTAATTAGTACATCATGGCGCAGAAAAATGGCAGATGCTTCATGCTCCGTTTATAGAGCAACACACATAGCAATTTACCTTTTTGTAATTGTATCATCATAATGCAAAAAGAAGAAAAAAATCACCATTTTTGAACTCTCTGATAAAAAATTTCTGAAGTCCTCATTACAGCTGTCAGAGGCTGACTCTCTTATTATATTTTTTTCTGTGTAAGGAGCTGAGAAAAAATTAAAATGGTTCTTACAGTTGCTCTGCTGTGTACATATTATATTATGACTGAACACTCTCCCATATGATAATTGCCCAATCCATACTTGTTGCGTACCCAAATGTGCCCCAGCCTTAAGTTAATGTAAACTTCCTGCACTGCAGTATAATATGTGCAGATATGACACCATGTGCTACATTCCATAAACTGTGGGACTGTGAGAGAACCTAGGTAGAGAGAAAGTCATGAAGCAAAAACAGTAAGAAAACTATAACAGAAGAAGGCCCATTTAAGAAGGATATATTAAATAAATACTTAATTTCTCCTCTGAGCAAGGCATGGTCATATGCCACTCTGGGAAAGGAGCTTTGAGAGAGTCTATACAAACGCCAGAGAATTACTGTTATTATTATGATTGCTGTTGTTGTTATTATTATCATTATATTATTACTATTATTACTATGTTGTTATTACAACTATTATTGCTGCCTCTTTTATCAAGGAAGAAGGGTGTAAATACCCTGAGCCCATGGTCTTTGTGGAGGGGGGGAATAGGATGGTCACTGTCATTTACTTTTCTCTATTTATTTACCTCTCTCTTCAGTCTTTCTTTCCTTAGTTCTATCTGCCTCCTTAATTCTTTTTGTCTGGGAGTAAGACTGTAAGTAGAGCTTTTCACAGGTATGTTTGCAGACTCAGTCTTCTGTTTTCCCAGATCTTTTGCACCATTCAAAGCAGAATCTGGCTGCTGCTTAGAGTCAGATGGAGGCATTTCTTTCGCTTGAAAGGTAGTAGGCAAAGAACCGAAGAGTTCTGAAGTCTGTTGAGTTTCAATATCTGTAAAAGAAACACTTATTGGGGCCAAAATGACCTGACTTTCAATATCACATAAACTTAAGAGTTCAAACTTTCCATCTTTTTTGACTAGAAATTTACCATTTGTCTTCTCCTTACCTAAGCCAGCATGTTCTGAAAGTGATTTGTTTTTCTGTCCCTTGTCGTCAGAAATATTCAGCTGAGACAGTCCATCTGAAACGTCTCCTCTTGCAAGGTCAGTTTTACCAACTTCAGCACCTCTTGGAGGAGGAGCTTGAAGATTCACTTCATCCTCAAATTTTAATTTCCGTTCTCTGTTTTCATTCACAGGAGCCTGATTTTCCAGCTCTTTGTTGGCTTCTTCAATCTTTTCCAAGACATAACGTTTTATTTCTTCATCGTCTCCCTCATCCAGTTCCTGCTCATTTTCCAGCCTGGATTCTTGTATAGAGCTTTCTCTCTCAGCATCAGATTCATGGTCCTCCTGTTCAATAGCTGACCCGGATTGCAAATATTTTTCATTAGAGTATATCACTTTCACATTTACATCTGCCTCTGAATGCTGATCTAGATTTTCTTTCATTTCTTCATTGTCTTCCTGAAAGTTGTCTGCAGTTTTAACAATTTTTGCTTCAACATCCTCTTCCTTTTCTTCAAGATTCTAAAAAAAATTAAAATAAACTAGTCTTTTCTCTCAACAAAGAACAGTTATCAAAGAAAGAGGAAAGAAACAATGAGAGAGAAGAGCAGTACAAACTATATGCATTCTAAACTGTTAGTAACTAACAGCTTTTTTGACACTAACAAGTCTCTTCATTTTCTTCATGTTTACATTCACACAAAGTTTAACTAACCAGTAAAGTGATTAGTGACAGCATAAAACCACAATGAGTGTTATACAAACACTTAAAGGAGTACAGAAGTACTTTTGAAAAAAAGGAACATTTTCAATGAACACTGAATATTCTGCTTTATGCATATTAGAACCAAAATAACCAGTTTGTTGAAGTGTTTTCCATTATAATTCCAAATAACCTTCCTTGTCAAATTTCAGTGAATGCATCTACACATTTCAAGCAATACTGAATTTATGCCTATGATTCCAAATATTACTCAATTTTGTCTTCTAAATAACACAACTAGCATTTAATATAACAAATACCTCTTTTTCACCAAGGTTTTGTTTTTCTTCTTCATCAGTTAGGCATTCAGTGTCTTTTTCAAAATCATCCTCATATTCTGCATTTTCTGTTGAATCACCCACATCTGCTTGATCTTCCTTTTGATCAGGATCTCTTTGAGCTTCCTTTTCACTCATTTTGGTGATGTATTAGAGTAATACTACAAAAAGGAGAGGGAATAAAATGTTTTCAAACTCTAGTGACAAATACTGATATCTCTTGTGACACCCACATCAAAATTGTGAGTAATATTAATACAAGCATGTTAGACAGTGCCACAGCACCTCAGGACTACGGATCACCAATGGCTCATAAATATGAATGGTTTTGGCCTTTCTAGCTCTGGCTACTGGGAAAAGGTTTGAGTTAAAGCAAATCAAGGTGATTTAATGTCTTCGACAGAGGTTAAACTCATGATCTCTTAACAGTTAGCCTTGTGCTTGGACAAAGAGACCACTATTTTATGTTAGGTTGAAGTGCTACAAACTTCTTGCTTGTATCTTACCTTGTTTGTATCTTATCTTGTTTAAATGCTCTGTAACTTTAAGTACTCATTAACCTGTTAATCAGGCTGGATATAATCATGCTCATGACAAAGCTGAAGATGAGCCACTATAATGACTGAATCTTTTAATAAATATTTGTACTGCATAACACACAGGTGCCACCAGCTCCTGAAGGACTGCTTAAATTCCGGGGCCAGGTGCTCCAGGCTGCCTGCTGCCCTTCAGTTCAGCTCACTCAGTACAAGGCATCAAACACACAGAAGTTTAAAGATGTGGACACACTCACGAGCCTAGAGACCTGATTTTACTCTGTTTATAGCTTTAGCCCCTCATAATTCCTTCAATAATTTATTACTTTTTACAAAAGCAGCACAGAAGAAGAAAATATCAATTATTCAAAAGTTCCTGCTCTTTTTGCACTATCTGATGTAGGCTGGAAGGTGCCACTTCTACATGCCTCTAGGAGGATTAATCAGTGTCATTTTCAATATACCAAAGATCATTACTGTTGTGACAGAACAAGGAGTAATGGGTACAAATTGAAAGAGGGGAATTTTAGGTTAGATATCAGGATGAAATTCTTTGCTATTTCGGTGCTAAGGCACTGGAACAGGTTTCCCAGGGAGATTGTGGCTGCCCTGTTCCTGAAAATCTTCAAGACCATGACGGATGGTGCTTTGAGCAACCTGGTCTAGTGGAAGGTGTCCCTGCCCATGGCAAGAAGGTCACAATTTTATGAGGTCCATTCTAACCCCTTAACATTCTATGATATGAAGTGGCAAGACAATATGGGGTGTAAGAGAGAGCTCTGACTCTGGATGGCCCTAGAACAGCAAGATAGCTCTTGCTGTGTGACCATCCTGCCCTTCCAGACAAGAATCACAGAACCAGAGAATCAACAAAGGTTGCACCTGGACTTTCAAATCTGTCTACACGTTTTGTAAAAACTCTTTCATGCAGCAGATGTTGCTTAAATTCTTCCAAGCTTTTGTTTGAGTTCTGATGAGCATCTCTGAGTTCTCAGTTATTTATTCTCAGGAACACCAGCTCTGCTCCTCAGAATTCAGTATTTCAAGCTGGTAAAGAGCAATGTTCTTTTAAGCCTCAAAGCTTAGTCAAGATTTGTTTTAGAATGTAATAAAGCTGGGCATTCTTTGCTGCAAAATTGTACAGAAACTTTTAAAAGCTCTTAATTTTCTCAGATCCATATGTTGTTCAAGAAAACCTGGCAGTTTTTTAACTTCTTCATAGCTACCACTTGCCACTGGAATCACTCATTCACACTAGATTTCTCAGAATTTAAATTTTAAGAGCTCACTCAGAACGTTTCCTTGGCTTTCCATAATACTCATGTTTTTCCTGCACTACTTCATATGACATGTAATGATTTTTGCTGTGAAATGCCCCTTCCTTAACAAGTATCCTTGGTTTGGGTGATGACATACCTGGGATCTTAATGGAGATTATTTTGCTCTAGTGCATATTCCGCACAAAACAACTATTACTCTGTGACTTCATTATAATGATAAGCAGATGCAAAAGCTGCACAGATGAATTGTGCCTTTAAAAAAACATGTTCACATCAGTCTGTGGCACTCAATACAAACACATTGAACATGCTGTTTAATTCATTTAGGTGAAGTGTAATAATGGGGAGCAGCATACAAATCAGCTTTTCCTGTTATAAGATAAAGTAGCCATTGCTGAAGAGTAAACTGCCAATTCAATTACTTGTTTCATAGAATGTTAAGGGGTTGGAATGGACCTTAACATCATCTAGTCCCACCTCCCCCTGCCATGGGGAGGAACACCTCCCACTAGACCAGGTTGCTCAAAGCCCCATCCAGCCTGGCCTTGGACACTTTCCAGGATGGGGCATCCACCATCTCCCTGGTCAATCTGTTCCAGTGTCTCAACACCCTCACAGTGAAGAATTTCTTCCTTATATCTAACCTAGACTTCCCCTCTTTCAAGTCTCCACTCATTTCACCTTGTCCTGCCTCTGCAGTTCCTGACAAGGAGTCCCTCTCCAGCTTCCCTATGGGTCCCTTCAGGTACTGGAAGGTTGTGATGAGGTTTCCACACAATCTCCTCTCCAGGCTGAACAGCCCCAACCTTCCCAGCCTGTCTCCACAGGGAAGGTGTTCCTGTCCTCTTACCAACCTTGTGGCCTCCTCTGGACTCGCTCCAACAGTTCCACGTCCTTCTCATGCCATGTCCTTCTGGTGCCTTGGGGGCACCAGAAAATCCTGAATCAGCCCCTATTCTATTTTGGATATTATGAAATAAAGTGATTCAGCATTAAGAGGGACCGAAAGTATTCAGGAAATCTCAAATCTTCATTTACACCTGCTTCTGTTCTACTTGTGATGTGTCTGTGGGGGGTGTGCGCTGTGACCATTTGTTCTGCACGGCTTAGTAACATCTCTACGCGGTTACACTCAGGCAGAGTCACAACAAAAGGCGAGACAGAGCGACGGATTTCTGTCGCTTTGTCCTTCGGCACTAAAACATACACACATACACACAGACCCACGAACCCGAGCTCCACGAGGGGGGTGGGGAACGTCCTCACCAGCATTCCCTGCTCCCCTGGGACACGCCAGGCGCCGCCGCTCCGTGCCGGGGACGAGGAGCCGCCGCCGCCGGGAGTTGCGGTTGCCGTGGCAGCGGCGGGGCCGCTCAGGGCCACGGCGGCTCCTGAGGGACAAACGCCGCCTCCCGCAGGCCCTGGCGCCCGCGAGCAGGCCGGGCCGCGCCGCTCTGTTGCCATGGTGACGGGCCTCCTCGCCGGGTTCCCGGCCTCTCCCCTGTTCCGTGTGGCACAATTCCACCTAAGGCCTGGAAACTCTGGGGAAGCAGAGCGCTGACGGGAGCGGGGCACACACACCCCACCAGGAGAAGGGCAGCTCTCCCTGTCCAGCCGAAAGCCCTTCTTTGTTGCTGTTAATTTATGCACTTCTCAGGGAGCAGCCTTGGTTTGTGTGTTGTATTATTCATCATGCTCCGGCTGGCAATGAGCAATCGGATCAGCCCAAGAGTGTCAGTGTCAGAATGTGGGCTTTTGTTAGACACAGAATCACAGAACTGTTTGGGTTGGAACAGGATCTTGAAGCTCCAACCCCCTTGCCATAGGAAGGGACAACTTCCACGAGACCAGGCTGCTCAGAACCCCATCCAACCTGGTGTTGAACACCTCCAGGGTTGGGACATCCACAGCTTCTCTGGACAACCTGTTCCAGCGTCTCACCACTAAAGAAGACAGCACTGAATCTCCAGAGGCACACCTCTCTGTGTTAACCACACACTGCTCCTTGAACTCGTACATGAAAAAAAAAACCCTCCAAAACAAACAAACAAACAAAAAACCAAACAGGAATGCCCTGAATTAATTCCCTTCTCGGTGAAAAAAAAAAAAAGGCAAAAAACCCAAACAAAAAAAAAACCCACCCTGATTTACCTGCGGAGCCAGGAGGGCTGGCAGAGCGAGAAGGATCAGACTCCTCAGTGGAGCTAGAGGGAGGTGGCAGGTTGCAGTCTCACCAGGGAGAACCAAACACCCCACTGGTAATGGATGCTGTGCCCCTGAGGCCAGCAGGTCCCCAAAAAGTTGTGTGACCACCAGACTCCCCACAGAGCTCACTGCAAGGGCAAGCAGCTGTCAGCAGCCATTCAGGGTGATAAAGTTCACTCAGCATCACAAAATGCTTCCCAGCACTGAATTTTGGGAGATGACCCTCCTCAGCTCTTCTACCAGCTGGGGCTGCAGTAGCATGGATCCCTCTGGGGGGAAAGAGGGAGAGAGCGAGGGAGGGAGTTCTCACTGGCAGGACTGACATGGTGCCCATCACACTGTCATGGCCCCAAGTTCTGGATACACTGGCCTGGCAAAGCAAAGGATGACTGTCTATAAGGCCATACACCTCAGAGGGCAGCACCTCCCCTGTACTAAAGGGTTAATGCTAATGAAAGAAAATACAAGCAGAAAACAGCCATAAAGCCAGAGCTTTGGTAACTCTCAGAGTAACTCAAGTAGGGTCCCCCCTTTCACTCAAAGTTCCACGGGACAGAAAAGCTGAACCCCTTCAAGGTGAGGTTCACAAGTTCTCTGAAGACTTCTGTCATCATAGGCCACATGCCATAGGAGGAGGCTGGACTCCATGACCTCAGGGTTTCTGCTCATCTTACACCATACAGTGAAAAAGAAAACCAGGTTTTGACATTGGTTCTAGTGGTCTGGCAGGCTCCCTTACACTTACCAGAGATAATGCTCAGTTACCAGCTTGGCAATAGTTCCTGCTGTACCTGGCAAAATTTCAACCAGTGACCTCACCCAGGGCACGCAGTTGTCCCACCCTTGAAGGCAATGTGCTGAATTTCTGATTTTCCACATTTCATTTTGACAAGTTCATAGCAGTCTAAAATACAGAGAATTGGGTACAATACCAAGGCTTTCTGGTCTGCTTTTATTATAAGACCATCATTCATCTTAAAAGCCAGTGCTATCCTTTTAATTCACAAGAGATGCTTTATGCAACTAATTACAAATCAGTGTGATTAAAACAAGGATTAGACCCTATTGTTGGGAAGTCAAGCTGTGATGTTTGAGAATAATAACTTAATGATTTAAGTCAATCAAAACTGATCTATGCATTATTAACCCATATGTCATTAAATGCTGGTTTTCAGATGTTCTCATGTGTGAGGAAGCTGCAGAGCATGGCTACAAAAAATGCAAAGAAAACAGCAGTAAAGCAGTGCAGGGCTCATAGGACAGACCCCCGGCATGTTGGCTGCTGTTTTCCTTGTCACTAATGCATCAGACACTGTTCAGGGAACAGATTCATGGACAGTGAGTGAGTGTGTTTTGCAGAGAAAGGCTGCGTAACACCTCCAGAGCAACATTAAACAAGCACCTTAACACCTTTTTTATATAGTGTAGGAAACAGTTGATACTGTCAAAAGCCACTGGTAACAGGGTTCAGAGCATCCAGTCTCCTGCCTCTCCCATAGCCAAAGTCCCTCTTTCCTTCCCAGTACTTAGCTACAATCACACTGATAAAGAAAACACAACCGCTTCCACACAGAGACCTTCCCTTTCCCTGAGAGCACTGCCAGAGCAGTCGGCTATGTCACACATGCACACAGCCACACCAGGGGCTGAGTGCAACCCTGCCTTGCCCTGGCGGACTCTCACAGCCACTGCTAGCCCAGGGGAGAGCAGTGGGTGCTGCTCCTGAAACAGCAGTCTCTCGCAGCTCTTACTATTTCTTGCTTTTTGGACAGAACAAGCCCAGCACCCAGTCCCTTGCTGTAGCAGTAATCCCAGGAACTACACCTCATTCTACCAGCATCACAGCAAACCCAGTGCAGGACAGAGATTCAGTTGAAACACTCACCTCCAGCAGCCCCCAGCATCAACTGGAACAAAGAAACAGCCCCAGCGTCCCAGACAGCCAGCCGTGTGTAGTGTTTATCTCATCTCCACCAAACGGCACTGCGTGCTAGATCTCCAGCGCAGAAATTCTGCTCCTTCACAGCAGCTGTGTGCCCCTTTCAGCTCTCTGAGCTGTCCATGATGTGGCAGGATTCGATGGGAGGAGCAAGGACTGCCACAATTCACGTGGACTTGCTTCACTTGCAAGAGAGAGCAGCCTTTCACCAGCACCAGATGAGAAACACTTGAACCCACCTTAAGGGTAATGCGTTAAATGTATGACCTATTACTTATATTCCGGACATATGCAGAGGTTTTAATCCCTGACTCTGTCAAGAAACTGATCCCTCCACAGCTGACTCCTGTATTCACCCAGGGAAGGCAGATGAATGAAATTCAGAACAGACCTGACATGTGAACAATCCTTCAGCAATAAAGGAAGCTCTGAAGGAAGCATGTGTAAGAAAGCCTGCCCTCCCCCTCTCCTCCCCAGAACACCCCTTTTCTTTTGTTTTTGGTGCTGTGCACAGGCTTGTTGGGCTACTACCCACACAAACCACTGTGCCCTCCAGCCTCGCCTGTACTATGAGGTACAAGCCATATCTTCTAGAAACACGGCACAGGAGTCTTCCAAGGCAGGGTGTGCCAGCATGGGGAGCTTACAGCATTTCTCCTTTAAGGCGTCAATTTTGTAATTAGGTCAATATAAGTAGAAAGGTCCTCCTGCATGGCAACCCTACACCTGCTTTCCCGTACTGTCATCCCCAGTTAGACAGGAGCACCCTCACCAGGGCTACCCTGCACTGGTGAGTGATGATCTCCCTCTGCAGACCAGTCTGCACTGGAATTAGAGTGGTGCTTCTGGACTGCTCAGCAGTTAAGAATCCCCAATGCAAGACACTCACACAGTTATACAAACCTACACAAGCCAGCCAGCAACTATCAGCTTCTTGAAGCCTTGCTTCTTTTTTGTTCAAAAAACACGTTTTGTTCTAAATTGTTTTTCTCTTTGTTACAAAGATGCTCAGAACAACCTGCAGCAGTAGAGCGATGGATCGGCAGGGAATCAAAATGGAGAAAAAATATTTTCCACACAGGATAGCTCAGAGTATTTTTATTTAACAAAAATACCTGTTTAATTAGAAACCAACAACGTCCACATGGTTACAGATAGGCATGACTGTTAACTCTGCATACAGCTCCTATCATCATCACCACAGCAACAGCAGAGCTCAGAACCTGAATGACATCTAGGTGTGGCTTCCATACTTTGTGGGCCTGAAGACATACACAACGCAACAAGCCTTTCTATTGTAGTTGCCACAGTTTCATTACTTTGGTGCAAAAATCACTGATATTGCTCTAAGTCATTCATTAATTTGTGACTTGCTTTTAAAATAACTGGGCTGTTCCCCATCAAAGATTTGATCTCTGTATGAAAAGTATGATTAAAATTGAGCTGCTCCTTTTGGTCACTTGACAAGGAGTGCTGTGCACCCATTCCCCCTGCTTTGCTCCAATTGCCATCAGACCAAGGAACTCAAAAGACAGACTATCCCTGTCCTAGGACAGCTCATCAGATAGCATTTCATGGCTTCAGATTTTATTTTTTTAAAAACAAAAAACCATAGAGAAAGGAATATATACATGGGTAGCTTCAAGTTTAGATTTCAGGATAAGGCAGTTAAGTTTACATGTGTAAATGCCAGTGCAGCTGAGCCCCTCTTTAGTGGGCTGTTTCAAGAGGCAGCATGCAGAAAGAAAAGTTTCCGGGGAGTGGGCTCCCCTGAGCAGCTGGCCTGGAAGGGCTCCCTGGATCCCAGACAGCAGATGCCAAACACATTAATCATGCACCTTGTGTAGTAAAGGCTGAGGCTCACAGAAAGTGATGGGAAATATCCCAGTCAGGAGGAAAACACCTTCCTAACCCCAATACTCTGAAATCTCCTTGGCACTAAAAGCAGGTGATGAACCAAAGATGTTTCTTCAGCTGAAAGAAGAAAGGAGCTCTAACGAAGACACAGAGAAGGCACAAAGGGAAAGGCTGCATTGCACCTTCTCCCTTGCTAGCTCTCCTGTACACTTAAACTGACTACAACCTGCAGAGAAACAGGCACAGAACCTGCACAGAACCTTACACAACCTGCACAGAAAATAGGCATTTATTGTTGTGCGGGTCATGCTGCCCGAGTATCCAGGTGCCCAAGCCCAGGACAACTCTGTAGAACTCCTCCTCACTGTTGAAGCAATTTGGAAAAAATAAATTGTTTTTAAAAACCGATGTGAGGCAAGTCCCAGATTGTTTAAACTGGACAAAACAAAAAAATTGCCCACTCTAAACATTCATTGTTCTGCTCATGTGGAAAGGAGAGGCAGAACTAGTGGACAGACACCCACCAGAAGCATAAAGGCATTTTAAAATAACAGTGGAAAAATGACAAACCATAAATAATCATTTTTCAAAGCCTCAGGCAGTCATTCTGCTAACTAC